CGCAGGGGAGGGGGGAAGAGGCCGGGAACTGTTTGTTACTGCTGAGAAAGCCGTACCAGACTGCCTTTGGGCAGCCTCCAAAGCAGGGTGGGGATTTGGGGGATAGGCTGGAGTTAGGCAGAGCGTGGGAACGAGGCTGGCATCTGTTAACTACTTTCCTTACAGGCGATTAGGTGTTGCTAGGAATAATTCTTAGCTATCCTTAATAAAATAAAAGGTTGTTATTGCGCCAGGTCAGTGCTGCTGCGATGCCCTCCTATGTTATTCCCATTACTGTTCATTGGGCTTTTTTGTTACAAGCTTACAGAGATAAAGCTGCTTCTCGCTTACGGTATCGTATGTGTTGCTGGAAATATGCAGTCAATGCTCTGGTTTCTTTCCCCCCCCCCCCCCCAATGTTATTTGGTCTTTTAATGGTTTCTTGTCTTTGATCCCGGGACTCTGATGCTGATTGGGCTTCTGGGACCAGCCTTCATGGCAAAGCCCTGCTGATGTTCCCTGCACTGTCCCCATTGTGGGTTTGTTTGTTTGTTTTGCTTATTTGTAATACAAATAACCTAGATGGAAGCGTGGCATGGAGCAAAGAGCAGGAAATTCATTCAAGCTTTGAGCTGCGACTTGCTGAAATTGAAAAGCATGGCAAAGCACCGGGGGATGCCCACACATAAAAACGGCTATAAAAGGAGTTCTGTCGGTGAGCTTTCTCAAAGAGAGAAAATAAAAGGGATGAAAGACCAAACGCAGAATAAAATCTGCACATAAAAGTCAATCAGTGCAGTAATTCACATTCTGCCAATGACTTTGCAAGTAAACATCACCCAAAACATTTCCTTTAATAGGATATAGTGTTTGTTACCATAACTTTGCGGAAAGGATTAGTGCTGTTAGCGTGACTCCTCTGCCCATTTCGGGTACCGTTAGTTCCCAGTAGCCCAGGAGCGAATTGAAGAAGGGGAGAAAATCTGTACGCCCTGATTTCGATGATGCATTTTAGTACTGTGATAACAATTCATGTGCGCTCTGGCTGTGTACTGCCTGTTATTTCCTAGGAAACTTAGGCTTCATACTGAAATGTGCTACTTGGAAATAGTGGTGTTGCTAATAGTCTTTGTCTATCTGTCTGTGGGAAGAGCTGCAGATGAGCTGCCAGAAGCCAGGTGAGACTAATATAGAGCTGTAGCTGCTTGACATTACTGACTTTCAAGCGATCCAAAAAAAGGTATGATTCCTCTTGAATGGTGGAAAAGAACAAGATGTTTCTGTAGTAACCAGGCCATAAAAAAAGAAAATTGCTTGTAAAGAATGGGCCTGATTTTCCCCTTTTCTGTTTTGCTTCTATAATAATTTAAGCTGCATTTTTGCTATCAACTGCTTCTTGTGTAAGCACTTAATATTACCAAATTTTTACTTCAAATCTATTTTTGTGATAGTGATTTCTAGCCCACACATGTTGTTTTGTAATAACCACTGTTTCTTCCATCAAAAGGATGGAAATTTTCTGAAATAAATTGATAGTAGAATTCAGCTGTCCTATCTGAACTTGTCAATTCAAGTCTTACATGCCAGTCCAAAGCATTGAGCTTGGCATCAGTTGAGAGGATGATAGTGTTTTATTTCAGCGTGCTGGGAATAGTTTGATGGAAACACTTCTTTAGCAGACTTGGAACTGAAAACTGAAATAGAGAAAAGAGCCTTTTGTTTCTAGATGCAGATTCAGGAGCGTGATAAACTTTACTGCTTGGTAGCCTGGGAACTTGATTTTTTGTGTTGCTTACAGAAGTACAAGGTTGCGTGTATGGGGTTTTTTTTCTTTTCTTTTCTTTTCTTTTTTTTTTGACAGTACGTGCCCTTGAGCAGTAAAGAGGAGTTGCCTGGTATGTGTCTTGTGTTTCACAAAATTTCTGTAGCTTCTAGGTTTTTTTTTCCTTTCTTTAAAGGAAAATATTCTCGTTTTATAACGAGTGGTGAGGGGAGGGTATTTTAATATCCTTGCTGAAGTTACTTGCTTTGGAAGGACACTATTCCTAGTTCTCTTCCCAAAGATATTAGATCACCACTTTGATGCCATCACTAAATTGCAAGGGGAGCATGAAGTGTAAGCTTTGACCTTAAAGGCTATATTTCTTTTGGTAAGAAGATGCTAGCATCTGTCAAAGACCTGCAAGACTCAAGAAAGAAAACTGTTATTACAACCTGCCAGTACCAAAAAGCTGCATCTACTGTGGATCTCTCTTTCTTTTTTTAACCCTTACGTTTTTTTCTTATATGTTCTACTCTTGCATAGCAGTTTGGAAATAAAAAAATGGTTAAAACACTGCCAGGGTGGATGTGATATGTGGTGACTCTTTTTCTGCGTTCATCATTTCACATGATGATATTCTTTTGTAATATTATAATATTCTGTATTGCTCGAAGGAGTAATATGGCTCAAGTTCCAATATGCTGTTGCCCAAAGGACAAAGCATGTTTAATTTGCATTACAGTTTCCTGTCCCATGGAGCCGTGGAACACAAATCTTGAGACAGTAGTTGCAGGTTGTCAATGAATAGTTCCCCCCCCCCCCACACACCCCCCCCATC